GGAGCCCAGGGGGAGGCTGGAGGCGCCTTGGCCAGGGCAAGGGGCTCTCCAGAGAGTGGCTGGGAGCAGCCTGTGCTGCCTGGTCGGGTTGCCGGGCTCTACCTGCAGCACTCGGGCTCCTGCCCAGGACTGTCCTGTTCGGACTGCAATGCTGATGTGACTTTTTTTTCTTATTTTTTTACGTAGCCTGATATTACTTCGACTCCCAACTTTGTAGTGGAAGTAATAAAAGACGATACGAAACAGACCCTGGTTCTCGACTGCCATTATCCCGAGGATGAGGTGAGTATGGAACTGCAGCTAACGTTGCCCTGTGGCTTGCTGCACATATCCTGCTCGACCGTAGTGCACTTGTGCCATTTTTTTTAATCTAACTGTTCTCTACAGTCTGCTGGTTTGCTTAATCTGCAGAACGTGCAGTCTCCGCTTGCCTCTCTTTTTTAACATTTTTTTTTTTTAAAAAAGAGGCTTTAAGCTCTTACAGGAATAATCTCTGGGAGTTGTTCCAGTGCTTTCTTCCAGTCTTGACCGTACTTTTCTGATCAGCTGCTCATAGGCTCTCTTACTGAATTACAGAAACAAGGTCTGAGTTCTTTCTTTAACTGCATGGCAAACAGACAGGTAAACAAGAATGGCCCAAGCAAGATACGTTTAACACAACCTGTAAATAACTTGCAGGCCTCACTGGTGCTGGGGTTTCACAAAGGTCAAAGAGCAGTAGAGATTAGCAAAAAAAAGTAGGGGAATCAAATTGAGAGCTTTGCTTCAGGGTGATGTTTTTGTGGTTTATTTTGCAAATCTTAACAGATTGTTCATGGAGACACTCTAAGTTGACAAGAGTTACACAGTGAGGACAGATGGTTTTAGAATAGTAGAGAAGAGGGAATTTTTACAGCTTTCTAAATAGCGGGTCACGGACACATCAGGTTACCTCAAGAGCTGTTAGAGCAACCTGTTTTGGGCTGTCCTGGGTTCAGGTGCAGGTGTGTGCTTATTGTCACACGTTGCGAGAGAGGAAGGGCGTTAATTGGGCTTTTCCCTGCACTGTTGTATTCCTCACTTCAGGATGAAGTGGTGCTAAGGGGGCCCTGTAGTTGGGGCTAATCTTTGTCTTGTATCTCTTTCCTGTTTCAGGTTGGACAGGAGGGAGAGGATGAAAGTGATATTTTCACGATTCGAGAGGTCAGCTTTCAGCCCACTGGGGAATCGGATTGGAAGGAAACCAACTACACCCTCAATACAGATTCCCTGGACTGGGTAAGTGCTGCTGAATCTAACAAGGCCTGAGACTGCAGAGAGCACCTGAGCTGCTCTGGACTCATCCTCTGCTCCTGAATCCCCTGTGACTCCTGTTCCAGATTTCTGAGACCGGGATCTCCCCACACTTCCCATATGGCAGTGCTTTTTTGTGCCTCAGGTTCATCCCAGTCATGCAGTGCTGGTGATGTTAGTGGCAGTGAGAGGCCTCTGTACTGAAACCATTTCTGTTTCAGGCTTTGGAAGTTTGCAGTGCTCTCTCCTAGCTGCATTGCATTTTAGGGGTGCTTTGACACATGCTCAATTATCATTTAGTTTATCTTCAACATAACATGTAGTTTTATTTTTGTTAAGTTGTCCAGATAGGTTTTTCCTAGTGGTGACGTTAAATTAAAAGAAACAAACCTGGAATCTGTTCAAGAGTCTGTGCTGAAGTTCTCAGTGCCAGACTAGAGGAAAGTCTGGTCCTCCTCAGAGGAAGAAAATCCCCACTGCTTGGGGCACTGTAAAATCAACCCCTGCCAGGCATGTTCCGAGCTGTAAGTCTCTGTCCCTTCCTTCCAGGCCCTGTACGATCACTTAATGGATTTCCTGGCTGATCGAGGGGTAGACAACACATTCGCCGATGAGCTGATTGAGCTCAGCACTGCACTGGAGCACCAGGAGTACATTAAATTCCTTGAAGACCTTAAAAGCTTTGTTAAATGTCAGTAGAATAGGCTAGGAAACTAATCTTCAAATGTGGGTCTTCCACAGCAGGGGTCCAGCCAGCAATACCCCAAACTATCTTCACAACAGATACTGACAGTAAGTAACTTTGAATGGAGAGAGGAGAATTGTGGGAAAATGAGGATTCTCGCATGTTTGGGGGAATTTTTATTTATGTCACAGCCCAGATCAAGTTCTGTAACACTATTGTCTGGAATTGCCTCATCCCACTTGAGTGTTTTTGTACAATTATGAACGAATGTGAAGAATAAAAAAAATCTGTTCAACATCCCATTGCAAGCAGGTGTTTTCTTTCTCTTTGCTGTACCAGTGCAGACCAAGACATTGGTCTAGTTGCCATAAAATGATTTCAAGGTTTTTCTATGCCTTAGCCAGTGTTGGTGGTTACTGCTGGTGCAGAAATAGTGTGTTTTGGCAGGGGGTTTCTCCAGGCAGAAATGTTCCAGCACCTTCAGGCACCCAGAACTGCCAGTCCGTATGGAGCAGGACTCTGGCTGTGGTTCTTTCCTCCCAGGTGTCCCAGGTCGGTGTTGTGGAGGCTGCAGTGTAACCAGGGTATGACTGAAGTCTTTGCTGCTTGTGTGTGTGCGAGGGAGTAGAAGAACCTCTGAAATAGAGGCTTTGAGGAGCTGTTTTAAATAGGGACACCCTGCCCTAACCTCTTACAGCACTATTAATGTCACTGCTATAGGAAATAGCCCAAGGAGCCTGGAGCACTTCAGTTTCAGCAGTCTAATTCAAACATTGTGGATGCTCATGTCCAAAGCATTGCTGCGAGGCAGCAGCTGCGGATTTCTATATGATCTGGTGTCTCCAGTTGTTGCCTTAAGGGCATAAGAAACCCAGAACGTGCTCCTGCTGTGGTTAGGAGCTCTGTGCCAGCTGGCTCTACATTAAAGCTCTGCTTCCTCCTTTGGCTTGAGTGCATCTTTGAAGAATACTGAGACAGCATCTTTAAATGGCACTTGTGTCTTGCACTTCTGCAATAATTTTGTCCAGGGCTACCTTTTATTCCAGAATGCTGCAGGGATCAGGTTTGGTGTTAAACAGAGTGGTGAGGGAAGTACATGTTTTTGAGGTTGGCATTAAGCTGCTTTACTCTAGTTTTGGTTTCTGTTACTGAAGGAGAAATATTTCTCGTGACTGTTTGCAGAGGAAGTAGCTAAGTTGAGGACGGGAGGAGCAGGATTCTGTCCACCCTCCTGCAGCTTGGAGGGCAGGAATCCAACCCAAACACCTGCTCTCTCTCCCCCACAGGTAGCCTACCCTATAGAGTCAGCCTTGTCTCCCAGGAAGTGCATCTAGCTTGTGTTGCTCGTTGCTGTCCCTCTATGCGTTGTTAACCCAGGTATATCAGAGCAATATTGATGTTTGCTTTGTGTGAGACACCCCTGCTTTGAGGCATGGTTGTAATTAACTGGCAAACAGGAAGCTTGACAGGGGTGAGGAATGATAGATGTGTGCTAAAACCAGGCGCATGCAAGGGAAAGGAGTAACTTCTAGCAGATACTAAATGCCAAATAAACTGTAGCTTTTCATAAGCTCTTCCAGGAGATTTGAATTTGTTCTGGGTGAAGTGCACAACTGGTTAATCTTACAAGGAGTCACCTGGTCTATACAAGAAAGGGGAAGGATATAGCAAGGGAAAAAATGCTGTGAGTGAAAACAAGCCTGAAAAGTAATGCAAGATGAGAAAGTACCAATGGACTGGTTACTAAAGAGACTTAGAGGCTGAAATAAACTAGATGTATTTATTTCAAAATACTGCGTCATCAAAAGTGCAATTAAGGCAATACTACTGCCTTGTCAAATATGCTTTTGACACAGCAGTTACAAATATATACATAATAGTAGCAGCTCTAGCTCAGGAAGTTCTTCCAGTGATAAAAACAGCAGCCAAATCAAGCTACAGGAGAACCGTCCAGGAGTCACAGACCTTTACAAGAAGTAAGGCGAGTTAAACAAACCATATTCATTTATAAAGCAGTATTAATATTCAGAAGTGAAATGCTCTGTTTCTAGAACTGTAGCCACCAAATAGGTGCAGATAAAAGAGCAGCTTTACTTAAGTGGCAGAGTTAACATCTCCCTGCTAGCTTGAGACTGAGCAAAGGAAACCACAGGAGGTGGTTTCTCCGAGAGGGCTGGGCCTTGAGGCCTAAACTGAAACTTCACAGTTTTCTTCAAGAAAAGCTACTCCAAACAGATGCTCTACACAAGACTTAAAGATGTTTACTAAGGTTTAAGAAAAATAAGTTTGACAGGTAGTGAAAAAAAATCCCTAATCTAGCAGTTAAGATAAACTGTAATTCCACTGCTCCTCCTTTCGTGGTCACAGGTAGGAAAGATCGAGAGAAACGGCAGCCCAAAGCACTGAGGTCAGTGGGCAGCTGGTTTCTGTGTGTAGCTGAGAAGTCAGTGCAGACCCTTCCCAGAAACCTGACATTGAGACTCACCGAACAGCTCATGAGAAGACTCGTTTCTTCCTCCATTCCACTGGTAACAGTGAACTCTGGATTGTGAAAGCACCTGTAACTGTGCTCTGTTATAGTGTTTTCTAGAAGGGACCGGAGCTTCTCTTCTGTCATATCCTGAGATAAATTGCATTAAGAAAGAAGTCTTAGACCTAAGTTGCTCCACAGCTCAAAGCTGTCTCCTGTTCAGAATGGTGTTGACCTTGTAGCTTACCTGAGTAGTGATGTATAATCCACACTGGCACAACACCAAGTGGTTCTTCACGGTCAGGTTATTCCTAGGAAGACAGGAGACAGTGAGCATCTTCATAGCAACACAAGAACAAAGGTAGATCTTGGCAAAAGTTGTTAGATTTTGGAGCTCACTTTTCTAGAAATACCCACAAACGCCTCTGTGTTTAGCTGTTCCTTTTGTTAGTGCCTGTAATCTTGCAACACCCAAGACAGAGGCAGCTGCACTACTCGCCTAGCAGGGAAAAGACCCAAATATCTTGCACAGAACAGTGGGAAAGAAGCCACTGTTCAAATGTTACCTAGAGCATCATGGACTCAGTGCTGCCCAAACCTGCAAGACTATGGAGCAGAGAAGCGGTTTTTTGAGACACGTTTGTCCAGCACCTCATTCCAGCACCAAGGCCTTTCTTACTTTCTACACACAGGACAGATGATCTTGTCACTGGCCTCCAAGCCATCAAGCATTGCATTGAGACACTCTTCATCAAACTGAAGACTTCGCTCATACTCTTCTATGACCGACTGTTCTGCAACAATAAAAGACCAAAATACCCTCGGGCACCTGTTACAAAAGCAGGCACTACAGAAACATTTATGAAGTTGCTCAGTGGATGAAGTCTAGGGCAGCCCCTAGTTCTTGAACTTGCCTTTCTTTGGCTCAGATTTCTACGCTTGAAGAAATGGTTCCTGTTAATCCAATTTTCTCGATGGCTCAAGGTTTAGCTGCTCTCAGCTCCACAGGTGTTAACACTTTCAACCAACAAGCTAGAAATATTACAACTCGATTTATAGAGGCTCCTACAACTGCCCAGCACCACAGTGTTGTCTCCTGTCTCTCCTCTATTAGCTTCTCAAAGACTCTAAAGTGCTACTCAAGGGGCCACCAAGGGTCTCAGTGCACCAGAGACCACAGACACTTTCAAGGAGGCTGTTCTGAAACTCCCATAGTTTGGAGGAACGAAAAGGCTCAGTCTCCCCTTGCTTGGATCACTAGAAAGCCAGAATCTGAAAAAACATTTTGAGAGATTACCTTGCAAGACCAGTTCGTGCTGGATTTCTTCCAGTACTGCTAGTTCATCGGGATCCTCTACCATCTGAAAGGTGCATTAGTCAGTAATTCTCCCTCTCTGGCTACATTCTTGCCGAATCTCCCTGAGCTGTCAATAAATCCGTAGTTTATTCTTTACCTGCCAAGTCTCCGTATTTGCTAAAACATGCATGTAGAAAGCAATACATGCAATAGAAACAAAGACAGGCAGTGGGGATGGGGTCGTGGCCTGACTGAGAACTTGCCTGGTGAAAGATGAGCGCTTTGCTGCCAGCCGTGGGAGGGAGAGCAGCCAGCGACACCAGAGCTGTGGAAACCCCCGGGCTGGTGACAGAAACAAGGAAGCTCCGGGGCCCCAGGGCCGCGGCTCCCGCAGCGGTTTCACCCCCCC